TTTATAGTAAAAATACCAGCAATGCATTTTTGAAAAAAGAATTACCAGCAATACATTTTTGAAAAACAAATTACTAATGCTCCCTCAAAAAATTAAAATTCAATATTAAATGACCCATAAAGAGTTGATATGCTGCTAAACAAAAAAACAAATCCTTATATGGAAACATTCAGCATTCATTTACCAATGTTACTTTTCGTTGAAATTTTTAAAAAAATCATTCTCTTAAAACAATTTTTCAGAAAAATAGGTTTTTCAAGTTCACTGTTAGCATGCTTTCCAGTATTGATGGGGTTTTTCTTTTGTAGTGATGAATCAAAAAACCAAGTGTTACCTCATAAAATAATTTTTTCTTTGTGCTGTCTGTCAAAAAAGTGGATTTTAGTAGGCCTCAAAATATGGTAATTGTTTGCACTTCTCAACTAGTCTTGACCAAATCACAACCTTTCTTACCCCAATCAAAGAATTCTGATTTGAAGCACAGAATTGTTTTTAGTCCTTTGTGCATGAAGCGGTAGTTGTGAGTAATTTTTTACCCTATTTACATTTTTTGGACTATTGTCCTCATCTTTGTTGCCATATTTATTACAACGTTTCGGCCTTTGTACACTTCGGCCTTCTTCAGGTGGTTGGAATGTAGAACTGAACCCTTTGTTTTGCTTACTGGGGTAGACTGCTCTAGTTCCACGTGCCATGTTTAATGGATGTCAGTTATCAGCTATCTCCAGTTAATTCCCCTCTCCAAGTTCTCCACTGCCTTAACCAGGTATTGAACTCACAGTCTTTGGGTCCTGTCACTGGATCTAACTAACGCCTTTATCCACTGTGCCATCTGTGTATGAATTTCTGGGTATTATAAACCTAATGTCTTCAGCAACCATTTTTTTACCATTGTGATAAACATGGTGACAAAGATGAAGACAATAGTCCGAATAATGTAAATAGTGTACATAATACCTCTTCTCAGAAATATAGACAGATACTAATTTTTTACCCTTTTGATTTTTGGCCCCAGGTATTTTCTGATGTTGGACTTGCAAGACTTATTTGGAATTATGACCTAATTATGATTTTTGTGATCTGAACTTCCCTATTGCTATTTAAATCACCTTCCTAACATTTTGTTTAAAGTAGTGCAGAATGTCAATATCTTTACAATCATTATTCTTTCTTCGGAAATATTCAATTTAGTTGTTGCTGCTGTTGGAAGTCTTCATGTGATGTGAAAAGAAAATCATATGAAAATTTAAATAAGAAATGAAAATATGAATAATCTTGGCATAAGATAATGAGATGCATTAAATATTGGTACTTTTTATTATGTAAGAAAAATGTTTGTTTTTTTTACATGATTATCATTACAGAGTAGTCTCCCCTTATTTTTCTTTCTTTTTGTTATTTACAGATAATTACAATATAAATTCTGTGAAAAGGAAATGACTTGACATCAAGCTTAATCACCTCCTTTGGCAATCTTTGAACAAGTGGATTATAAAGTAAATTTATTGATTGGGAACCTGGTAAAACCCTAAAATATGAAAGGGTTAAATGCTTTTTGCCAACTTGTGACCACTCATCTACTGTGATTTCCAGGATGCCAACAAAAGTCGGGGGGGGGGGGGGTGAGAAAAAATAAGCCTCGTAAATTTTCCTTTTGCTTCTGTATCTCAGCAGCGTATTTCTATTCTTGTAACCATTTCCACAATGGACATAATCAATAATCAATCAATCTTTTTCCCATAAAAAAAAACGTGCTGCCTCCTAGCTTTGAACATGTAATAAATCAGAGGTCACTTCAGAGCGTATTGATTTTGTGGGAGGCTTCAGATACGGTGTGTCTGTATACAACAAAGCGATTTGCTGAACAGCAAATGTTTTTTTTCCCTCTGCCCTGGCGGTGGATCTAATAAAGCTTATCTGACCAGACTGAACTTTGACCTTTCATTGAAAAAAGACCACAGATCTCATCATTATTATACTGTTGTTATTTTTCAGCAAGGATCAGATTGTTTTTATCTGCTAACAGATTTACTTTCATGAATTTATGTTAGAGTTGATAACAAATGAGAAAACAGATTTAATGGAGATATCAAGTGAGGTGAACAGGTTTTATTATATGAATGATATTGATATTGAAAAATACTTTCTCAAATCCTGATAACTTTCTCCCTCAGAGAAGTTTGAAGCCATTTTATTGACTTGGTGCATATGGAAATATCAGGTCCTTTTTAGATTAATAAAACAATTTTATTTGTAAATAGCACCAACAGCTTGGACACTTTTGCTACAAGGTTGAAACTAATTAATTCTTGAAAACAATAAGATACTTATTATTCATTTTTGACTAGTATTTCTTTCATCTTATTTCTCTTGCTTTTCCACCAAGTAGTAATAGTCTTAAGTTGTCTGAATTTCATTTTTCAGATCTTGCTTTTCCACCATGTAAATAGTCTTAAGTTGTCTGAATTTCTTAGATGAAGCAATTATTATTTATTTTCACTAGTATTTCTTTCATCTTATTTCTCTTGCTTTTCCACCAAGTAGTAATAGTTGTCGGAATTTTCCTAGATGGAATATTTTCAACAATGTAATTATGGGTAGACCCAAATTCTATATTAAGTATGAAGAGCAATTCATCATGACTTCACTTTGTAGACGTTGCTTCAAGGTCCATTGTGCTTTGTATTCTTTCCTTGGAGGTTAACAAATATTTCAGGCCTTGTATTTTTATTTGTTTACTTTCCTCTATAAATTAACATTTGAAATATGTTTTCTTTTGATTGGTTCAATCTTGTATATATTTATTATACGGTTGCAATAAAAAATTAATACTTGATATTAAATTATACTACTATCTAAATATGTGTAAGAGATTAGCATAATCAAACATCAAATGTTAGAATCCCAAGTGCTATGCATTCTGGTGAGGAATACTTCACTTTATAAAGTAAGTGTAGTTTGTTGAATTTTTTAAAACATTTTTTTTTTTCTTCAGTAATCAGTTTTTTTCATCTCTCCTTGTATTAGTTCTTGGTTATTATCTGGATTTCTTTCATAAATAAATAAAAAAAGAAGATCTCTTGAAGACCCTTACTTTTACCTGATTTTATTACTAGATGTCTACTTCATGATATGTATCGTCAGAACTGGAGCCAACATGTTTATCTCTGAGAAATTCTTCCCAAATTTAAGCAGAACAGGTCGCATTAACTAATGCTAAATTAAAACAATTCATATTGTTTATTCTTTGCTGTTTCTTTAAACTTGTACAGTCAAACTGCAACCAGGTCTGATATTTGTCATGACTATAAAGAGCCATAAACCTCTCAAATCCACTCACCTATCGGCTTCTCAGAGTGGGATTTCAGTTGTAAATGTATATCCTTGGAAACTTGCTTTTATGAAATAAATGCAAAGGTTAATGATAGCTGTTTTGAACTAATGAATAACTTGAGACTTAATCTCTCATATTTAATAGTTCATTTTATTTCACTCCAATGTTTCATCAATTACTCTCAGCCAGTGTTGTAGTATGGCCCAACTGTAAAGTAGACCTTACATTCTCTGAGAAATTACCCCAACTTTTTTCTGAGATAATTGTCAAAATAACTTATCTCTCTGTTTTTAATCTCATTCCCATGATTGCAAAACTCAATGTAGCTTTGAGTTTCTCTGATTATACAATGAGTGGTCAGCAGTTCATCTCAGATCAACCCTGCGTTTCACTTCCTTGATGATCTGGTGTGATATTGAGTGCAAATTCTATTCTGGCATAATATCGCATTAATACTACCATCATCCCCACCTTTGATTTTAATACTGACTTGAAAAATCACATATATGCAAGCTTACTTTCCACAGTGACATGTCGTAATACTACAAAACTGTTACTCCCTTTTGGTTGTTAGTCTTTCTCCTGCATCTGGAATGGAGGTGTTGGCCTATGCCTTGTTGTCCCTACCAACCACCAGTATGCCTACAATCAGACAACCAACTCCAACCAAAATGTTGGTTCATGAAAACAAGCCACAATGTAAGGGGAAAATAAATGTAATTTTTTTTTAAATTTTAAAAAGATCATAAATGTAAATCTCTGTGGAGAATCCAGGACCAAGGCTTTAATCTACCCAGAACCCAGGCTTCAATCTAATCTACCCAGGTCAACCATACTGTAGGATCGCTTCCACAAAAGGGTGACAGACCTGTATCAATAATTTGCTCATCTTCCTAAAAGAAGGACAGTCCAATGGAAGACATGTACCATACTTCAATCTCCTCCCTTCTTAATAGAACATAGCATGTAAATGTTTAGCATAAAAGGGGTGAAATCATTCATCTGCATGCTGTACATGATCTTAAAACGTCCATAGCATAGATTTTAGAGCTATCCTATATTCTGGCAATAGATATGGGCTATTTGCCAAATACTTTGGTTGCAAAGTCAAGCCATTATACTGCTGTGACTGTGAGCATTGCAGCAATGAACAGTAGTGAATGAAATAAGAATCTATAATGATTCTATCAATCAGTAGAATGTTACTGGATTTCATGTCTTTGACCAGGAACTTAAACTTGCTTTCATCAACCTTTTCATTTTGGAAGAAAAATTATTTTTGTCTCATTTTTAATTCTTTGGCTTTTTCCTTTACTTTGTTGCTTATGGCCACATCACATTGGAACACTCATTCTTGTAGGATCACTGACATTAAGCAACATTGACCATGGTCATTACCTCGATGGGTGACAACTTGGTAAAAGTGCTATAACCTTGGATGTGTGGGTGGTGTAATGGATGACAACTCAATTGGAGGGCCAAGTTCAAATTCCAATTATATTCACTTACATGCAAATATCCTTGGGAAAGGCATGAATCCACAGATTTTCCTCACAGCAATGAGGTAATCAGTAAGACTTGTATAAGTAAATGAAAAAAAATTCTTACAATCTAAAAATATTTTCTGGCTTTAAATAACATGCAAAGGGTTGATAAGCTGTAAAAAATGAATCAAACTTTGTTCTTTTTTTATTCTTCCTCTTTCTCTTTGTTGCTCATCCTTCCTTTTATCTTTGTTCTTTTTTCTTTCGTTTGTTTCTTTGTTCTTTTTTCTTCCATTTTTTTTCTTTGTTTTTTCTTCCTCTTTTTCTTCTGTTTTTTTTTTTTTTTTTCTTTTCTTTTTCTTTTTTTTCTTTCTTCCTTTTTTTTTCTTTTTTTTTCTTTTCCTCTTTTCTTTTGTTTTTTCTTTCTTCCTCTTTTTCTTTGTTTTTCTTTCTTCCTCTTTTTTCTTTGTTTTTCTTTCTTCCTCTTTTTTCTTTGTTTTTCTTTCTTCCTCTTTTTCTTTGTTTTTCTTTCTTCCTCTTTTTTCTTTGTTTTTCTTTCTTCCTCTTTTTCTTTGTTTTTCTTTCTTCCTCTTTTTTTTTTGTTTTTTTGTTTTTTTTTTGTTCCCTCTTTTTTTGTTTTCTTTCTTCCTCTTTTTCCTTTTTTTTCTTTGTTGTTCTTTTTCTTTGTTGTTCTTTCTTCCTCTTTTTTCTTTGTTGTTCTTTCTTCCTCTTTTTCTTTGTTGTTCTTTCTTCCTCTTTTTCTTTGTTCTTTCTTTTCTTTTTTGTGTTCTTCTTTCTTCATTTTTTCTTTGTTTTCATTCTTTTTCTTTGTTCATTTTTTTGTTCTTTGTTCATTTTTCTTTTTCTTTCTGTATTAGAAATTGTCTTTTTATTTTTCTATTTTATTTTATACATTTTACTATTTTTTTCTTATTCTGACTTTTTCATAGACATTTGTTTAATTTTTCTTTTTTTAGTTTTTCTTCATTATCTTTTTTTCTTTTTTGTTTGCCATTCTTTTTCTTCATTTCTGCTTTCCAGGTCTTCAGAATTCCTAAAATCAGAATTCCCAAAATATCTGCTAACAATTATTGAATCAACATAAAATTCCCATTTTCTTTCTTTTTATTATTAGATATTAGCTTAGAAAACATTTTTCTGATGAAATCCTGAATTTTTATCCTAAAGGGAGCCGAACAACATCAAACCCACTTGTTTATCATTCGTGATATTTGAATTTGACCGATATTTTGACCCATTGCTAAAATTATAGAACCTCACTACAAAATGTATTGCTATTAATACAACTGTTATCTTTTTATGTCTTAGTGTAAGCAAAGGTTAGCTTTGTAACACATAATCTCATGAAAATAATAATAAAGGCAAAATATGTGTTGGGTATTGATAGCTTAGATCAATAATGGCCCATCTTTTTTGTGCACTGGGCTGCGTGAGATATGGCTCATCATAAGGTGGCCTGTACTACTACAAAATTTAAGGTAATTTTTCATTGAAGGTATCACAGTTATTTTCACTACAGGAAGCCATATGTGTAAGTATCTACCTTAGAAAACTTGAATTTTTTTTTGCATTATTGAAAATATTTTTTCTGTAATTAAAAATTGAAGTTTTGGCAATATATTATCACTGGTGGCAGTGGGATTAACACATGATGCTGTACTTAGACTTTATGAATTTAAGTGCAGTACTAGATTGGCAGTAAGGTCTCATCAGCTTACAGTTGGAATGCCTAGAAGTAACCATAAGTTCTATGCTAATAGTTTCTTCTATTGCACTTCTTGCTTGTGGAACTCACTTCTGGCTTCTTACTTTCCAGCCAAGATTGATCTTCAAAAATTTAAATGCAATATAAATCATTATCTCCTGTCGTCTTAATTTCTATTATTTTGTTATTCTTGCTCCTTAATAAAGATTTTTTTATCACATATTCTCTCACACTCGGTCATCTTTGCATCTTAGTGGCTTTATTGCCTTGTTTGGAGTGAAACAAAAAAATAGAATGTAACCTTTTGCTAGGAAAATTGTCTTTGTCAGATCTATACACAAAGTTTCATTTCTGATTACATGGACGGATTTGGAACTTGGAATATGTCTTCATCATCTTACAGTTGAAATGGCTATAGATGTAACCCTAAATTCTATGCTAATAATTTCTTCTCTTGTATTTCTTCCTTGTGGAATTTTCTTCCAGCTTCTTGCTTTTCAGTCAAAAATTTAAATGCAATGTCAATAGTTGCTGTCTAAATTCATGTTCCTTTATTGTTGTCTTTCCTTAATAGTGTTCTCTCTTTGGCATTATTCAAGCCCCGTAACCATAAGATTATTAAATCTCTTATGACATATAACTGTATAGATTTCTGGATGAGGAGTTGTCATTGATTTCATTAGTAAATTATGTTAATAGAGAGAGAAATGAAAGCAATGCTCAACATGAGTAATTGTAGTAAAAAGAGAAGTCTCAATGCATGCAATCAAGCAGAAACAGCAGTCAGTTTAGATTTAAGGCTCCAAGTTTACCTTCAGGACTGTCCCAGTGGATTAAAGCATTGGTTTGTATTTGGTGATAGTGTCTACTTGGACTCAGTGGTAATGAGTCATGCAATAACTAAGTGATACTAAACAAGGACAAGATGATCAACAGAATGAAAACTATCTACCCCTCTAGATTAAATGGAAGTTTACTTGGATTGACTAGGACCTGATGAAGGCTGAAGGGCACAATGGTTGAAGCATGATAAAAAACACCCAACAAAGATGAGGAAAAGTCTGCATATAAATAACACAAATAATCGTATAGATATGCATCTATTCTTAGAAAGGATCAGCAATTTCAAATTGTTGAATGCTTAAAAGGTGAAACTTTTAACAAAAACCTATATAACAATCTTGACTTTCTGGCTAACTTAGACAACCATCTGTCATCTGATCACCATAGTTTGAAAAAAAACTGGTTAGTGTGTGTACTTTACTTTTAGAGTTCATCAAATAGGTTAAAGTATCGTACTCTGTGTAGCACTGTTCCATACACTTGGGAATAAGGTAAGTTTGAGGGTTGCAAATTTTGCCTCCATACTATGATAAATAATTTGAAAAAATAATTTTGGTGGCCATACGAAGAGAGATGAAGATGCCTATCATCTCTGGAGTTAAAAGGAGATGAATAATGAAAGTGTTGCAAAATGTCTGGTTCTAGTGTATTAGAAATTGATTAGGGTTTAAGGCCTTGGGGTGATTGTTTAAAAGTTTTAGGGGGGAAAATTTGCACAGATATTGATATGAAGATTTTATTGTTAACTTTCCATTAAAATGTCTGTCTTGGAATATCTTTGTACAAAACAACTGAGAGTTTCAAGAAAGAACAAATGCTTCACTTTGAACAAAATAGAAAAAAAAGCATTGCTTACTATTTTTGTGAAAAACTGGTGCTAAAAAATTGTCTTTTTCTCTCTCGTTATCTCAGGATCTTTTGTAATATCATCAATTTCTTTGCCATGTGATATTATAATATACTTTGAGTTTTTTAATAAACTAATAGTAGAAAACAATAGATGTGAGAGGGTCATTAAAATCAACTACTGTGAAAGATCCAAAGAAATGAATGAATTTTAATATGGGACAGATCATTATCGTGATGTCTCATCTAAATATTTTTTTTTGCCCTCAGTTTTATTGAACATGTTTCATCACTTTCTGAGATGCCTTATATAAGAATACAAATCAACTCTCTTTTTACTTTACTTAAATGATCTACCTAAGAGTATACTCTGATCATTTGTAAATATCTGGGCTCATGATACAACAGTATATAGGTGCACCTCCAAAACTGTAGATGACCAGAGCCTGTTAGCTGATCTCTCTGCTGAACTAGCTCTAAAAGCTTGGTGTGTGTGTGTGTGTGGGCGTTTATATTGAATGCCACAAAAACTAAACTAGTTATATTCCATCATCACCAATCATGAATGGATGTTCCCTCAGGGAGGCACCATGTCTTGAGTACCTCTTGAGACAAACTCAACCCAGACCCCAAGTGGAGCTCCTATATATGATGCATTGCTTAAGATGCTGGAAAAATGGTCAGTTCCCTGTACTGCTTTAGTAAGTACCTGACTCTTTGTGCTATCCTCTACTTTTACAAACTTTAATACTGCTATATATGGATAGGAGCTGCACAGTCTTCACTTTCCAGTCTTGATAGAGTCCAAAGGCATCTCCGAGTCCTTGTGGGGGACAAATTTCTTCTTCCCTACGACCCTTTTCTCACAGGCAAAATGTTGCTAGCCTCTCATTTGTCTACTGCTACTTCTATGGAAAATGTTCTGATGAAATATATTCTTTAATTTCACCAGTTCTTATATCCGTGGTTAAGGCTCTCGCCATGCTTCACTCATTGTGACGACCCACTCTTATTCCCTTTGTATTCCAATGGTGAGATTTAAGTTCCACTCAAGTAACTTCTTCCCACAAACTGCTGCTTTGTGTAACCAACTCTCAAGAGGATGCTTCCTCAATCACTACAATCTTAAACTTTTCAAGTCTAAGGTTAACGGTTATCTTCCCTACATATTAATATAAACTGTACAAGGCCTGGGAGACACTCAAGGTAGAAGATTATAGGGTAAGAACCCTACAATCTTCTACCTTGAGTGTCTCCCAGGCCTTATACAGGGTGAACACCATTGTTAAAAAAAATACAAATAAAAGAAACAGACAGGGATTCCCACAAATATTTAAAATCCAATTCTGTACTTTTTCTGAAATCTCTGATAGACTTAAAATAAATCGCAACCATAATTTTCATATGTTTGCCTTTGTTTTGCAAGACTTCCTGCTGACATATTTTTCTGTTGTTTCTTCTAGAATAATAACAATTACTGAAATCTGCAGTGTTCATGCATTGACGACAACTCTCCACAACTTCCTGCCCTTTGTAGTACTTAGTAATGTTTTTCTTTTTGGTATATTTCCTAATCCCTGTTTTGTCAACCATGTACACAAGCTCGTTAGGTACACTATGCACTGCTTTCTTCTATCTCACTTGCTTTCAATATGTCCTGTGAGTGTTAAATTTTCCAAGCCCTCTTTCCTCATTATGTGCCCTAAAAATTTCAATTACCACTTTCTGAAGTTATATTTTGCATATTTTGATAATTACTTTAAGAAATTTTTAAATAAAAAGATTTCTTTTCACATTTCATTCTTTATAAAATGGTAAATAATAAATATAACATTGTACTTGGTTCATATATTTTTATAATCTATCTTGTAAATAGATTGCCGAGAAAGCAAAGTTAAAAGAAATTATTAGCATGTCAAGGGAGGAAAAAAAATAACTTCCTGTTGATAAACTGTTTTTTTGTGGGTATGATTGTTAAAGTTTATTAACTTTTAGATATTTATGTTTGTTTATTTATGTCTGACTATTTCGTAATTTGTTTTTGTTTTTCTTCTGTTTTTGTTGACCTAACGTTTTATATATTTAACATTTATGACTATTACATTTTCCATTTTTGTGTTACATTCTGATCTTAGTGATTTAAAAAAAAAATAATTATTACCTTCATTATTTTCAAAGAAATCATGATTGTCTGAAATTGCAAATGTTTATCTTCTGATCTACTGGAAATTTGCTTTTTTGCAACCATTTTTATTGAATTCCAAAATATGTGCTCCAACTTTTGCAGTACCAATGCTGTTTTGGTATTTGCAAATGCCAAACATCAAGTCATGTGTACTGAGAAAGAAATAGAGTAAGTTTTGTGTTGTGTGATTTCATTCACACTTTAGATTTACAGCACCCCACACCCAACCAATTTCCAACTTGGACCAATCTGTCTAGCATCCCTTTATACAGAGTAGA